TCTGGCTTTTTTCTTTTTGCTTATGTGGTGCTGAGGAATTGAACCCAGGGCCTCAGGCATGCAAGGCAAGCGCTCTACCACTGAGCCATCTTCCCAGCCCAACTTACTTGATTTTTAAATGTTCAATTATTCAAAGTGTTCAATAAACATGTACATTGTCCTTAATATATTATATATCCTAAAAAGATATCTGTTGAATTAACTTGAGGATGGCAGAAAAAAAAAATACAAAGGAAAAAATAAGTCCTTTGTAAAATCAAGATTACAGCAGGGAGAAGATGACACTTTCAAGTTCAAATAACTGAGGTAACTTTAAGGGTGAAATAAACCCAATAAAGGGTTGTTTGAGCCCCTGGAATTGACAAAAAATTAACTGTTAATACTCAGGACAAGAATTGGAAAGGAATATGTAGTTATCAGACACTAGAAAACAGTTAGACTGTAAAAGAGCACCCTAGGCAGGTACTGCGGCCTTCCTGAGAGAAACACAGCCACCGAAGAGCCGTGGTATTCCAGGAGAAAGTACTAACAACATAAAATTCCAACTATGTGGTGTCTTCCAGTGGTTAATACCAAGGAAAGCCACTAAGCAAGCATCTAAGGGATGCTTGAAAGCAGTGGTGGGCCTTCCTGGGACACACAGCCATGCAGAGAAAGAGAAGAGAGTATAAAGGAAGACTTCTAGCACAAGTACTATAAAGAGTTATGGTTAATTTATCTCACCTTCCTATTCAGCCCATAAAACATTCTCCCAAGGTCTTCATCTACTTGGGATCTGAAGGAGGGAGAAATAATGGAATAATAACAATATATGATAGTGAATAAGACTTCAAAATTTGAAAAAGACTTTTACATGTCTTATGTTTATATGATTCTCAAAAAATCCTCTACACTATTTAAGGGAAAAGATATCTTACTGTTATAGATATAGAAAGAAATAATTTTATAGATAAGACCTTAAGGAAAGTTAGGAATCTCACCCAGAGTCACAAAGCAAGTGATGGAGCCAAAATTAGAGAGTGTGCTTCCTAGTTAATACCAGCTAAGGTTATTCCCACCCTATACTATTGTAACGCTATCAGCTGGAGAACAAATTAATGTTCATGTGAGGAAAAGAATTAATCAACTATGTTGTAGGCATTGTGAAGATCACAGAAATATTCAACATACAAGACACCAGGAGGAAAAGAGAAAAATTCCCACTCTATTCTCAGTAAACTGCAAGCAATGCTAGTGATGAAAAAATTAGTCTTCAGTGGTATTTTATTTTGTGTATTTATTTAGCCTCAGTAGGAAAACAAAAATATTCAAATTATGAATTAAAATCAGAAGAAAAGAGAAAAAGAACACAGTCTAACCATTTTGTCTTGAAATGTTCAGGGAAGGAAAAAAATCACAGTACCTTCATAATCTCCTCACTACTAAGAGACAAAAACACTAGAAACTGAGAAGAATGTCCTCTCCACTTCTCTTTTCCAGCCACACTCCTGCATACTCACACATCCTTTTGAGGGCTAGAAAAGTAGTCAAAGGTGTTACCCAATTCAAAAGTACTGAGCACAGAGCAAAACAGCTTTTTAGTGTGTATACCAGTCCTAGGACTTGAACTCAGAGCCTGGGCACTGTCCCTGAGTTGTTTTTGGTTTTGGTTTTGGTTTTTATTTTGCTCAAGGATAGCACTCTACCACTTGAGCCACAGCTCTACTTCAGACTCTTGGTAGTTAATTGGAGATAAGAATCTCACAGACTTTCCTGACCAAGCTGGCTTCAAACAACAATCCTTAGCCCTCAGCCTTTTTGAATAAGTAGAATTTACAAGTATGAGCCATGGGCCCCCAGCTCAATTGCTTATTTTTAAGAACCTACTTGAAAACTCTACATGTACAGTATTAATCTACTAGAAAACATTCAGCTCTTTGCATATAATTAAAGAAAATAATGAATAGTATCTTAATTGTAAAAAATTCAAACTTACCCCATTTATTCTAAATCTAGTTTCTTATCATAACAGCTACTCCATCGGGGTTATGCAGTTATAAGCAACAGAAAACAATTCACTAATTAAAAAAAAATCCTAGAGGGAAATTAGAGGCTCTGTGAATCCAGGGCAAGCTGGAAAACAAGGTTCAGAGACTATCAATAGTCCAGACATACATAGAGGTCAGAAATAGGAGCTACTACCTGTGGTTTTATTATAGCATATATCATCAGATCACAGCCAAAAAGGGACAAAGGAAGACAACTTAGCTAAAGATTCATATTCTAAAACAGGATGGTGCACTTAACCAAGCTTGTAGTCATAATACAAACTCATAGGCTGAGTATAGGTCCATGATTATAGTTTCACTACACAAAGTACCTCCAAAGGAAGGAAAGGTGTTATAAAGGGTAAACAGACACACAAGACAGAGGGGGGAAATGGGAGAGCATATTCTCTCTCTGAAAAACAAATCTTTAAGAATTAAATTGAGACAGGGAGGGAAGGGGTGACATTGTCCAAAAAGAAATGTACTCTTTACCTGAGTTATGTAACTACAACAAAGGTATTTTCCTAGATGCTTTGAAAACTTCAACTTCCAGAAGCCCCATTTAGCATATTAGCTAAAAGTTGGCTTTTCATTTGATTTTTAAGGACAAAGCAGAATTTGTTCTTTTGTGGTAACAACATGCTCATTTTGGAAACCTTATCCTGTTCCTAGAAAGATTTCTCAAAATGAACAAATGAATAAGACTGTGCTTCTGCTGACAATGATGATATGATGATGACGAGGGTGATGATGACAGTGATGATGATGATTATGAAGATGATATTAACAAGAAGAGCAGCAACTAGTATCTGACAGCTGATCTATCACGGATCAGGACTTGTTCTTCCATAATAACCACAAAAGGCAGCTAAGAGTATCATCTCCATCAGGAAACTGATACAAAAAGATAACATAATTTTTCCCTGATCCAAAAGCCAAATCAGGACTGAACCCCATGTCTGACTTCAGAGCATTTGTATAACAGTTTTCAATGAGACAAAGAAAATAGATGTGCTACTGTGAAAACGTCTCTCAAGAGGACTACAGGTACCATAAATATATCTACCTATTAACTCCAATACAGCATGAATATTTATATCTAAAAGCTTCAAATACTATTTTATACCAAGAAATGGCACAATGATCTACAAATATGAAAGCCATATTCAAAAATAAGAATGACCTGCTTCATATGATAGTATTGTCTTTATTAATAGCTAATCATTCTAGCAAAATTCCAAGCCAACCAGCTTTCAGATATCAGAGTATGGTCATCCCAAAGCAAATCCCCATAATAGAGTTACCATGGATCATGTTTGGCCTGTTCAAAAATGGGTTGAATTTCCAATTTCCTTGTAAAATAAACATTAAAAACCGAGGCTCCAAAACAGATTTGTCATAAAGTTAAGAATAACTTAAAATATAAGGTAAATCAAAATGGCTTTTCAACATTAACTAAAGTGGTCACAGTCATGATTACTGTAATAAAAATGACAGAAAAGAAACTAAATTTGTCAAAAACATAACTGATGATAAAAACAAATGTAGAATTATGGCAAGTTTCACCCTGGCCACCAAAGACTCTTGATGAAACTGCAGTCCTATAATTCCCCAGAATGAATTCTCTAAATTAAAATACTTCATGCAGAACAGAAATTAAACAATGAATCAAGAACAATGCTGTACAGAGGTGTGCTTATAAATATACCTAGCAAAGAGGAAACAATTACATTTTTCCATGTAAAAATGGACTTGATTGTAATGTTTCACAGGAGGCTGAGTAGGTATTTTTCCAATTGCTCCAACCTTGGAAGTTCATTTCCTGTAAATCACTTAGGATTCAGAGTGACTAGGTAGAATGCAATTAGCTTTACCAAGCTGACTGGCTTTCTCCCTTTTTACAAAACTAGCTCCTTCAACACAACTGCACAACTGACTTTCACGATAAATTTCATCCAACCGAATTGAAACGCCACCCTGCATTTTATTTTCAATGCTTTATTTGGCCAGCTGGTTTTATTTAACTATTGACCAGAAGTGGTACAAGTGCATTCTTTTTCCATCTAGCATTAATCTTAGTAAACTTAGCTCCATTGGAATGACTTAACTGCTGAGAAGAAAGCAAAAGTCAGCAAGCATACAATTGCATTTGGCTACCCTCAGCACATCATTTTATTTCCTCCTGCTTTCTGCTAACTATTGCTCAGCACTTTTGCCTATGAGAGAGGACAGCAGGTGGTTAAGGAACCTGTCCTGTCAGCTATATCTTTAATCCAAGTGTTTAAATCTCTGAATAAAAGAAAAATCAATGTTGTAAAGGCAATGTTTATCAAGGCCGTGTAATAAATACACTTACCTTTACAGACTGTTCTCAATGGATTTCCCTTCTCTGCTAAGCTCCAAAGCTACAGAGAGAGAAAAATGAAAGACTGAGTTGTCTGAGAGTAAAATATCAAATGTTTTTCTTTCCAGATTTCTAAACAGAATTTCCATATACGATGGTATGTGGTGTTAGCCAAATAAACCATTGATAAAACTTGTGTGTCATATTTCCTGCCCAAGCAGCCAATAAGAGACAGTCTGCTATTGTTTAAATATGATTTGAGCGTCCTCCAAAGGATCATGTGCAGAAAGTTAATTTCTACTGTGAGGTATCAAAAGTTTGTGGAAACTTAATCTAACTCTGTTGTTTATAGGTGGGGCCTTTAAAAGGTGAAATAAGGGGCTAGGAAGGTGGCTCAGTGGTAGAGTGCTTGCCTTGAATGCATGAGGCCCCTGGGTTCAATTCCTCAGCACCACATAAGCAGAAAAAGCCAGAAGTGGCATTGTAGCTCAAGTGGTAGAGCTCTAGCCTTGAGCTGAAGAACTGTGGGACAGCACCGAGGCCCAGAGTTCAGGCCCCACAAGTGACAAAAAAAAAAAAAGGTGAATGAAATGAGATACGGTCATTACAATAGAGATACCACGATTAAAGGCAGAGTCAGGTATCAGTGGCTCATACTTGTAATGACCAGAATTATTGTAATGCTTGTAATGGAAGCTACTTGGGAAGCCTGATTAAGAGAATCAAGGTTTAAGACCAGCGCAGACAAAAAGTGCAGTGTACAAGATAGATCAGTCACTGGATATAGTGCAATATGACTAACATCCTAACTACATCAGAAAAATATAAATAGGAGAATCAGTTTAGTCCAGCCCAGGGGGAAAATAAGACATTATATCAAAAATAACCAGAAGGACAGTTTTCCTGAACACTACAATGCCTAAGGTCTTAACTGGCAGACTTGAAAGTCAACAGCTGGAATTATCCAAAAGCTCATCTCCCACATATCTGCCAGTTGTTGCTGAGAGTTAGCTGACACCATAGCTGGAACTGTCAGCTGGAATGTTTATACATGGCCGCTCCCTGTAGCTTAAGGCTCCACAAACATGGTGACTGGATACCAAAGACACAAATTCCAGGACAGAGGGAACCAGGCCAGACTCAAGGCTCAAAAGTCACTGAACACCATTTTTTTACCTGTACTTAGTAGACAGGACAATCACACTTATAACCTGACTCAAAGGAAGGAAACAAAGACTTGCATAACCTGTAAGAACATATGGGACAGGGAAAATGTGTTGTATGCAACTACCTTGTAAAAACAGAATTGTTTTTGTAAATCTAAAATACCTTTGTTATACCATTTTATATACACACATGTATATGACGCAGGCATTCTTTACAAGTAGAGTGCAACACAAGCAAAAACAGGCTATATATTAGACAATAAGGGTGGTGTGAACAAAAGAAAATGTCAGATATCAAAATTTTGTTTTTTTATCTTCTTCCCCTCCCATTTTTGTTAGCATATATTCGTTGTACAAAAGTATTTTATTGTGTACATGCATACAATGTATCCTAATCAAATCCATCTCTTCTGTGGTCCCCTTATTCCCCTCCCTGCTTCCTAGAACAATTTCAACAGGTTTCATTATTCTGTTTTCATAGGAGAAATTAAAAGAAGAAATAAATTTCTCATAGGAGAAATAAAAAGCCTTTCATGATGAACAAAAACATTAAAAGCAATCTATGGCCATTAAAACAACACTGCAGAAGGAACCCTATACACAGAAGAAATGGTGGTGGAATGATGGAAATATGAGAAAAAAAATCTCATCAAAAGATAAGCAATTGAAGAGTAGGAAAATAAAATACCAGAAAAAGAGCAAAATGGCAGAGTATACAACATATCTCTCAATAGTAACTCTGAGTGTTAATGGATTCAATTCTCCAATCAAAAGACAGACTGGAGGATAGGATTAAAAATCAATTCCCACTATTTGTTGCTAACAAAAAATGCACCTCACTAACAAATCCAAGCTTAAAGTGAAAGGATAAGAAAAATATTTTTCTAAGCAAAAGCAGCCTAAAAGCAATCAGGAACAACCATACTCATAACTGACAAAGCAGACTTCAAATCAAAATGAGAAGAGACAAAGAAAGTGATTTCCATTAATAAAGGAAACAACCTATCAAGAGAATTTAACTTGTAAACATATGCACATGAATATTGTACAATTCATAAAGGAAACATCATTAGATAAAAAACAGCAACAACAAAAACCTAGATCCCAACACACAAATAATGACTGAATTTAAGCACCCTACTTTGACTAATAGCTAGGTCAACCAAATTAAAAAACAATAAGGAAACATAAGAATTAACTTTTAATATAGATTAAGTAGAATAATCATCTATAGAATAAGTCATCGGAAAACCTTAGAATACACATTTTTTGAGCAATCCATGGAACTTTCCCCAAAATAGATCATATTTTAGGATATAAAGTACACCTTAATGAATGTAAAAAAAAAAAAAGGAAATGCCACAATAAAATAATGAGAAATCAATGACAAAAAAAAACAGAAAATAATGTAACACGGACACTGAACAATTCACTTTTGCATGATCTGTGAGTGATTGAAGAAATATAAGAGGAAATTTTTTTAGAAAACAAAAACAAAAAACATTGAGCCAGACGCCAGTGGCTCATGCATGTATTCCTAGTAACTCAGGAAGATCATGGTTCCAAGCCAACCCTGGCAGAAAAGTCCCCATGAGACTCATATCTCTAATTACCCACTCAAAACCTGAAAGTGGAACTGTGGCTTAAAGTGATAGAGCACTAGACTTGAGCAAAAGAGCTCAGGGACAGCGCTCAGGCCAAGTTTAAGCCCCACAACCAAAACAAAACAAAATATAGAACAAAGGAAATGAAACCACAACTTATCAAAAACTTTGGGAGTATTAAATGAGCACTAAGACAGTGCTAAGATGAAAGTTTATAGCCATGAATGTCTATATTAAAAATCAGAACAGGGCACTGGTAGTTCACACCTATAATCCTAGCTACTCAGGAGGCTGAAATGATCCCAATTCAAAGCCAGCTAGGGCAGGAAAGTACATAATTACCAATTACCACCTAAAAACTGTAAGCAGAGCTGTGGCTCAAAGTGGTCAAGCTCTAACAGAGCCCAGGCCCTGAGTTCAAGCCCTACAACCAACAATGAACCCCAAGATAAGGACTCAAATGGTTTTTCTTTCTTGCTATTGTTTCTAACATATTTATAAGATGATTTCTTTGTTGCTTTGTATGTCCCTCCCCCAAGGTATAACCCCTGTTTTCACTGTATTTGATGTTGGTGTAATTTGGAGAGGGGAAGGGAAAAAACAAATTGTTTAAATAGGGTTACGGGTGGACCCATTGCAACAATGAGATGTACAAGACATTATGTCGAAAAACGAACTTTACAATTTTGGTGGGGTGGGGGGTGGGGTGATGTGAGGGCAGAGATGGTAAGGAGAAACAAAGGAGGAGGCAACAATGCTTGATAAGAAATGTACTCATTACCTTGTTCATGTAACTAACCCCTCTGTACAGTATTTTCACAATAATATATATATATATATAGAGAGAGAGAGAGAGAGAGAGAGAGAAGAGTAATGACAAATAAATTACCTAAAGATGCATCTCAACCTCTTAGGAAAACAAGAACAAGACAGACTTAAAACAAGCATATGAAGAGAAAGAAGAACAATCAGGGCAAAAATTAAATTATTGTCCTAAAAAGAGCAATACAAAGAATAAATTAAACAAAAAGTTGATTCCTTGAAAAGATAAGACTGACAAACCTTTAGCCAAACTAACAGTTTTCTTACTATATTACACTCAAGTTGAAAATCAATTATAAAATGAGATCTTAAAAAGTTTGAAAATTGGGGCTGGGAAGGTGGCTCAGGGTAGAGCGCTTGCCTTGCATGCATGAGGCCCTGGGTTCAATTCCTCAGCAACACATAAGCAGAAAAAGCCGGAAGTAGTGCTGTTGCTCAAGTGGTAGAGTACTTGCTGTGAGCTGAAGAGCTGAGGGATAGCACCCAGGCCCAGAGTTCAGGCCCCATGACCAACCAAAAAGCAAGCAGGAAGGAAGGAAAGAAGGAAGAAAGGAAGGAATGGAGGGAGGGAGGGAGGGAGGGAGGGAGGGAGGGAGGGAGGGAGGGGAGTCCATAATGTTTGAAAATTAAGTTTATATGACAACTTCCCTTTCTGACATAGAAAAGAACCCACTGTATGACAACCCACATCTGGAGACAAAAAAAAAATGATCACTTGTTTGCTTGTGAATATTTGAAGTGCCAGAGAAATGACTATAAGAAAATGTCCAGGTAAGGTTTATAGGTCTATAGCTGAGAGAGGTTATTTGAAAGTTATCCTAAGTGGAAAGTAGCCAGAGAAATTAACTAAAACCTTATAGGTCACAGAAAGGTTACATGATTAAAGACTGAATATTTCCAATAGAAGGCCATCAAGGCATACAAAGAGAATTGATGAGACAGGATACAATTGTGAGATGGTTAAAAAAGAAGTAGAAATCATTAAATGAAGACAATGAGTAAGAATAGTAATCAGAGATAAGTTTGGTTGTGAGGGGAGGAAAGCAAGTGGCAACTAGCAGACAGGGGACCAAAATCCAGAGGGTTTATTCATGTTTAAAAAAAAAAAAAAACAGAAATATCTACCTATGTCTGGATGATAAGAAGATCCATTTGGGTAGCAAGGTTCAATATACAAATAGGGAGAAAGATAACCAGTAGTAAAATATTCCTGAGGAGGTTGAAAAGGACAGGTAAAGGACTGATCTTAAACTTGTCTCACCTTAATTCTACAATGCCTTGTAATAAACTCGCATATGTACTGCATTATTTTCTCTTGGGTTTATGTTTTCTTACCTTAATTATAATCTAAACTTTTTAAAACCTGTAGTATTTATTGTTCAAATCAATCTACCTTATTCCTACACTGCAAGCTCCAGATTCTACCCTACTATCCACAATCACGCAATAGTTGTTGAACTGGGCATGGA